AATAATAAAAAAAGAAAATTACATCTATTTTTTCTTACTTTCTATTACTTTTTTTTATCAAATATTGATTAGAAAAATATTTTTTAAAATTTTTAATAAATAAATAAATATTTTTATCAGAAGAATTATTTTTTTTTATCTTAATACTATTAAGGTCCTAAAATTAAAAAGTCTAGCATGCAAAATAATAGTACAAGAGAATTTAATTTTAGAAGGTATTGAATTAATAATTATAATAATAAGAAATTTAAAATAAAGAATATTTTTAAATTATATTAATTTTAAATATATAATACATAAAAAATAAATAAATAAATAAGATTAAAAATTATAAATTAATTTATCAACCTAGTTGAATTAAGATTAGAGTTAAATCCAACATTTTTTTCAACAGCTTGATATATTTAAAAAATGTGGAAAATAAAAATCCTTCGCATTAAGACATAATTTAAATTGCAATATGCCACAATGTTAGAAGAAACTAAAAGATATATAATAGAAAGACAATTGGAGAGCTTTAAAATATATATATTTTGGATTTTTTTATTTTTTTATTAACCACAAAAATCTTAAAACCTTTAAAAAAAATCATGTGATGGTATTGTGTTATGTAAAATATAGATTTGGAATAAGTTGGACATTTAGCTGTATAAGAAAATTATGTAAATTTTATAATTATTTTTATAATTCTAAAACAGAAATAAGGTGTTTAAAAATCCTAAATCTAGACAATCCTAAACTTTATCAATCATAAATCTACAATCCTATTAATTCTACATGTCAACCTCTATTAACCCTAAAAAAACACTAAAAAAATGTTCAAAAATTCATAAAGAAGCTGTAATAATGTATCAAAAAATTATAATCAAAGCCTAAAAAAATTCTAAGAAATCCAAGAAAAATCATAAATTTTAAGTAGCAACTTTAGTATCTTCCAATAAACTTGTTAAGAACAGACTAAAATTAATAGTCAATTTTCTTCCTTGCACACCGACACATGCACATATATTCACCAGCAGATTAATTTTAAAATTGTAAAATTCTACCAAGCTCAGAATTAATTTAAGCTTTAATGTCTTATAAATTATAATTTTTAAAAATATTTTTTATCTTTCTTTTTAAGAGAAGAACTTGCCCACATCAAAATCCTGAAAAAAAAAAATTCACTTTCAAAACCTTCTTCTCAAATTTATACTCTAATCTCTGAAACAACTCTCCATTTGCTGTAGTGCTATAGGTGCTAAATATTGTGCTTCTAAATCTAATTGTAACTCTATCTCACAAATGTTTCTTTTCATATTTACATGATTTTCACTTGTTAAGAAAATTATGTCAATTTTACAATTATCAATCAAACATTTCTTTGTAGTAATTTTTCCAAAATTCATTCTTAATTACAATTCAAAATGTATTGGATTGGTTTTATTTCTATTTTTTCTTATCTTGTCCCATTTATAGCTCTAAAAAGTAGATATAAGTCATTTTGTAAAAAAACAAAAGCATAAAGTATAAATTTTTAAACTAAATCTATTCTAAGAGCTATGATTTTATAAATTAATCTAAATTAATCTTAAAATTCAGCTCTTAATATATATTTTGATTTTTGTTCACTTTTTTACTTAATAGTTGTGGTACAACATAATTGTAGTTCAGTTGATTAAAAAATTATCTAACTTTTTATTCAAATAAAGAAATTAAGATAGTACTGGTCAATTATAATATAAAAAAGGAGTCTATGAGAGTATCAAAACAAAATACTAAGACATACCTTGACTCTCTCAATACAATCTTCTTAGAATTAGAAAAGAATTATTGTTTATTAAATAAAATTTATGCATTTATTTTATATAGGTGTCTATGGTAGATAGCTAATGATTATAGTCAATCAATTATAACTTTGAATATATTTTTAGATACTTAATATAAGTTTAATAAGCTAAATTTGACCAATATTATACAAGCCAAGATCAAAATCAATAGATGGTTTTGTAACTATTCAAGAAACCATAGATAGTTTTTAAATCAAACTATTGACTAAGTATATTATAATTGGCCAATCACTACAAAAAAAAAATAGCTCTATAATGATGCTTTGATCAATACATGGTCTATGTAAAATAATTTAAAAGTATAAATATTTAGTATATTTTTAGGTAATATTATTTATTGCAACTTTGATAAATTGCAACATGTGGCATAAATGTGCACATTTTAGGAATATAGTTGAATTCTTATACAAATTAAATGCTTAAAGCATATTAATTCATAATTTTAAACTTTACATTCAATCTTGCCACTATATTGTAAACATTATATTTGAATTTAAAATAAAGTTATATATAAAAAAGTATGCTACTATTTTATAAAACTACTAAATAAAGATAGAATTTAAAACATAAGTTAAGTCTTAGAAGATGTAACATGGCATGGTGTAAGAAAGATTTTTATGAGTAATTAAAGATTTATATTATTTTTAGCAACCAAAATATTATTAAAAAAAAAAAAAAAAAAAAAAAAAAAAAAATCTCATTGGCTATGACATTGTCTAGAAATAAGTGCCAATGTTTTATAATCAAAGGTGATACTTTATAAGACACTTGTGGAATTTTGTTTTTATAGGATTTTATAATTATAAAATCAGATGTTCTTAACAAATAAATATGATTTTTTATTTTATTCTTTAAAGAATTTAATGCTACTTCAATGATAATTATAAGTTCCTCAATAAAAATAAATAAATTCTTAACCAATTTGAAAAAAAATATGGTTGTGTAGAGAAAAGTTTGGTGGGAAACAAGACATGAGACAAAGACCTCTTGGAGGAGTCATATTCTCAACTCCACCTTATGCAATGGAGTTGCTGTCTTCACCTGGCCCACCTGAGTAGCAAGCCAGTCTTACCTTACCTATGCTAGAATGAAATTTTAACTTACGTATAGCACTGGGGTTTTTCTGGCTTCATTTGTTCCTAACTTTTTTAATGAAACTTTTTCAGAACGATCGCTGCATGACCAGCCTGGAGGTTTGTGATGGGGCCAGACTTTCTCTGTCAAAACGAATAACACGACTCAGTACAGATATTACACAAGTACAGCTGCCGAGAATATGCTGATAAGGAATGTTCGGTGTTCTGATAACAAATTGTGACTCAAACCACCTTTTGAAACTACCTCGACAAGTGAAGGTATTGCAGTTGTTGTACCAGCGCCGAAAGAATCTCCCTCCCGGCCCCTGATCATGGCCTACTGAGTCAACACTAATCACTTTATCTCGAATAACACAATTTCTCAGATTATACAACTTCATTGTACCTGCAATTTTTGGCATTTTCTTGTCAGCCTCCTTGCTAGAAAACCCTACAGAGCTTTTCAGAAACTGGTCACCAGATATGAATGGCTAATGTTTCTCCAATTGGGTTGGTGATCCATGGCTCTGTTGCGATGGGGTCACGTTTTCTCATTCCATAGAATCCTTGTTATGCGTCAGGTAGTTTTACGTAGACTGGTGGGTCTACATCTCGATATCTGCTCGACTTGCAATGATATAATGAAAAAGCAGGTCAAAAGGCATGTTTCTGCCACTGTGGCAGCGAGGGAATTGTTAAGTATGCTGCAACTTCCTCCTCACGACCGAAAACACTAGCACACACAACTTAATCACTAGCGGTGCCTTCACAAGCTTATCGCTACACACTTTCCAATCTATCTGACGTAATGTTTCAAAGAATTGTCGAGATCTAGGTATTCTTTTCAGCTGTTAATTCTGTGCAGGAGAGTATCAGAGAAGGGGAAATTTGTCACATGATGACGATGTCCAGAAGACTGGCCGACATCGGATTTTGACGGCACAGGTGCCCAGGACAAAAGCCATGTGATATTCGCCTGCATGCTGGCCAATCTCCTGCAATGCTTCGACTCATCATTTCCCCCACTAAGAGTGCAGAAATGTTCGAATTGTCTGTCACTTTTAATTCGTGCGCGCCCAAAGAATGCCCTAATTTCTGATTGTCACGGCCCAAAGTGCATCTTCTCTGTTCGTGAAGGATTGAATCTGAACGTCGTGCTGCTGAATACCAGCTTTAGAGAAGGAGAATTGTTTTAAAATGGTCATAGCTTCCTTGGGGCTAATGACATGTTTTAGGAACTTGACACAAATATAAGGAAACACCTAAAAACATTCAGTACGCTACATCAGCTTGGTATGTTATGTTCTGCTTGACATTGTTGTTATGAAGTTGATTGGCCATTATCCTGGACAAGATGTTCAAGCAATTGCTGTTCCCAATTGTACGTGTTGAGACTCTATACAACAAGTTTTGTAGAACAACATGCCAGTGTAATGATCTTATCCAAATGCAATTGTGCATCGTTCACCACTCCTTAGTACTGCTCCGAGTTGCTGAAGGGGGACAGAGTGTAGAATGTCCGAGATCAAGATCGGCGGTGACGATCTGCCGAGGTGCAATCCCAATCGGGCACATAATGTAACTTTCTCTTCTTAGATGAAGGCAGAGAAACATTACTGTTCAATCTAACGGAACAATGCTCTGAAGATTCTCTAAAGTGGAGTGGCAACACTCTTCAGGACTTGATTATGTTAGTTGTTACAAAAGAGATTCAGTACAAAGTACACAAAAAACTTTCACGTACGCTGATGCTGGGGCTTTCCGAGATGAGTATGGGCCACCACATGAACCTTTCAGTTGGTCAATTTGATGGAGATGTTTAGGGGAATAGCACAATATTCTTTGTAGGAAATAGGGGCTGTGCTGTACTATTTCAAGTTTAAAGCACTAAATTACTTTTTTTGCACAACTACCCAGTGCCCTTGTAGCTGAATTTGACATTAAGAGCCAGTATTATTGGCTGGTTTAGGGGCGCTTGATGATGGAATTAATGATAGCAAGAGTGGTAAAGATGGGCGTTTAAATGCCGACTGCTCATTATATGTGAGAATTACTTGTTGAGTTTCAAGGAAGCAACCAACATCACAGCAGAATCAGTTTAGGAAAATCTCAAGTACTTGAAACTTTATTTACGGCACAGTTGCCAAGGATGATATCAAAAACAGCGTGCTAGACTCTTGTGCCACTTCGAGCACAAAGGCTTGTAATTGTGTCAGTGACAATTCCTCACTGCAAAGCACCGTATTCACCCGAACACTGCGATTGATGCTCATAGAGATACAATGCTTCAGTGACTGGTTACACAGTCCATGATTTCAAGCTAATATGCTGCCATTAAAGATGTAGACGGTGGTGTATCAACCAGCTACTTTCGAGGCAAGCACATTCGATGGGGTTCTTCGTGACCAGACCTTTGAGACTTCTCTACATTGTTGCTCTTGTGCTGAGACGAGATGCCAGCTTCTGTCCCAGAGTCTTGTCACACTGCAGCACATACCACAATTCCAATTACATAAGCAAAATTTGAAGAACATGGGAACATTACACGGCAACTGTACAGCCCGTTGCATGCATGAAGATTACGAAAACGCATTTCAAGTTTCATTTGTTTGTCACACACATAATAATTAGCTTAGTGAAGGCAGTAGTGTACCTGAGACATGTAGGAGATCCAGATGGCGCGGATTTCATGCGTCAACCTTGGATCACTCAGAGCAGTAACCATTCTGCCGATGAATCTCTCCTGCCTGTTGCATTCCACAAAATTACACAAAAATTACAAAAAAATTACACAAAAACCATTAGAAGTACAAAGTCTCATTCGAGCAAAAAAATAAATCCAGGTACAAGCAGCACTCATCCACAACATGCGCTGCACCATTCACAGTCTAACTTAGGTTCTGAAGATTGACAGGGTCTTGGTTGTTTAGCAAACCTGTCGTGGTCCCAAGTGCGGTAGCGATTGCCGGGCTGGATGAAGTTGTTCTCCTTAGGAATAACCGTCTGTAAAGCACATATCAGTGTAACGCTTTCAGCCATAAGCTTGGAATATTTGAGATTACTATCCACTTCGGGGCACTTGCAAGGAAGAAAAGAGTTTTCTAGAGTTGAATCAAGAACGCTTCTACTTTTAAATATAGACCTGTCTGCAACATAACAAACCAAGCACAATACTTACCTGCATTACCTGGATGCTTACGTTTCAAATTGAAGCAGTCTTAACGTTTTAATGAACAATTGTAGGTCGACAAGGACTGCGCCCCGGCTGTTTACTTAGATGTAATTCACTTGAGTGATCCCAGATTTAGGAGTTGAAGGATCACTATATAGTGTATTAGTCAAGTAACTAGTCGGGTGCGCAGGCCCCGGTGACCTTCATCGGTTCATCAGTTGTATGTGTGAGGGCAATGAACTTTCATGGAGAATCTGGCCTGGTGAGGAAGCGACAAGGGTTTCTACAGTAGATGCATGGACTGGTTCCATAAAAATCCCAACTGCACCAGCTCAAATCATCATCAACTGCTTGGTTCGTGTGTTCTAGCTGTGAAGAAAACTTGATTTTGGTCTGGGCGAGGTTAACCTGTTTAACTAGGGACTTTTTTTGGTGGGGATTTTCAGAATACCGGATGTACCGCTATGGACCGAAGGGTCGCCGTGAAATGACTATGGTGGCATGGAATAGGGTGAAAATTAGAGGTAAGAGTCAATCAGGGGGTTGAAGATGAATGTTTTACCTTCTCTCTGATGCCACTGACGTGAGCCTTGGAGATGGGGAAACGTTCCGACATACGAAGTGAGTCAAAGCGCGATGGCCAGTAGTTCACCTGTCAGAGGATACAGACATGTCAGAGTCGCATCCACCAGAAACTGATGACACTGGAGAAAGACAGCAGATGCAATTTCGTGTAACAATGGGCACACACCTCTTCATCACGATGAAGAAAATTCATAAAGCCTTCATGATGATTGTTGTGATGGGCGTTCTTGGGGGCATTGGCGGGAAGAAGCAAGTAGTTCGGGCCGAGACGATGGCGTTGAGTATCACCGTATGCAAAAATGCGGCACTGCAACATCTTATCGTTGCTGTAAGTGATTCCAGGGGGCACCACTCCTGGAGAGAAAGCAAGCATCTCATTCTCGCTGAAGAAGTTATCCAAATTCTTGTTCAACACCATACGTCCCACCGGCTGCACTCAAAATTGCAGAAAAAATTATCAGCATCGCCTCTTCGCATCATATCAGTACCACAAAAGAAATCGTAGCATTTCATACAAGCAAAGGATGCTATCCACCACATTCAAACACCAAACATGTAATCTTACCTGCAGAGGAAACAACTCCTCCGGCCAGATGCAGGTAGTGTCCATTGGGTCGAAGTCGTACTTGTCTTCGTCGCTAGGGTTCATTGTCTGGATATACAGCCTCCATTCTGGAAAGCTCCCCGAGGCAATAGTATCATACAGATCCTTGGTGGCGTGGCTGTGACATTTCGCCACCACCTTCGCTGCTTCATCCTCCAGAAGGAACTTCAAGCCGCAAGTAGGCCTCCAGTGCCACTTGATGAGCGTCTCCTTGCCCTCCTTGTTGATCAACTGAGATTGACATTAAACAATACATGAGCACCAGAATGCAAATCGTCCAAGTTAAGAAGGAAGAACAATGAGAGGCAAAAGCATCGAGTTCATGTCTCTACGAAAATGAAGGCACATGCTCATTAGTTCAGGACAAGTACTTTGAATGTGTGTACGGTGTATCCGTCCATATGGCGATAGTCGGTGGGGACACCCCAGTCATCCAACCACCAGAAGAACATGTGGGTGCTCTCGGGGATGTACGACAAATAGTCCATGATACGCCACCACTCTTGCACGTTCGATTTGGGGTTGGGCTTCATTGCGTGAATCACATCTGGGAACTGTACCAAACAAGAAAAAGAGATAACTTTTCGCAAGGTTTTTCAGACTTCATTTTCAAAGCTTAGACAGAGAGAAAAGAATGGAATGCAGAGACGATGGTACAGGAGTGGTGATTACCTGCATGGCGTCGCGCACGAAGAACACAGGCATGTTATTGCCCACCATGTCGAAGTTTCCTTCCCGCGTGTACATCTTCACGGCAAATCCTCGAGGGTCTGGCAGAGTCTCGGGGCTTCCCTTCTCGTGTATGACCGTCGAGAATCGCGCAATGAGAGGTGTCTACAAAAACATCATTATCCGCATACAGCCACCTTAACTTTGAGGAACAGAGCTTAACATGTTCGATGAATTGCAAATCAATTTGTCAAGGATAATGAGGAGGGAGTAACGTAGCGGCGGATGTTGTCCATGCCTAGTATTAATCTTTGAAACGCACCTGGACTCCGACGCCTCTGAGGAAGTCGGCACAGGTGAGGTGAGTGATGTCATGGGTGACTTCGAAGTAGCCCTTGGCACCTGCTCCACGAGCGTGCACAATGCGCTCTGGAATCCGCTCTCTGTGGAAGTTTGCGATCTTCTCCACCAAGTGATAATCCTCCAACAGAACGGGGCCTGCCAATGTCGAACCATGGGAACCATCAACCTGAATTCCCACCCACTTGCCTCGAAGACGCAGTTCATGCCACTAATTCGATCACCCAGCGCACATTTCGTTTGACTTTCCATAACCAGGACTGAACCCCACCTAGAGTTTGAGCTCTATGAGCGTCATCGCTTTTAAAAGAATGCTCCAGACAAAAAAACAAAATAAAACAAAACAAAAATTCTCATCGATGTGGTGATGTTTGCTTACCCCGACTGCCGATGGTCATAGACGAGGTATTATTAAATACCGGCCCACCCTGGTTGTTGGTCATGTACGGTGTGTTGTAAGCACTCGACGGTCGATACTGCAGAAAAAGCAAGATCACATCTCCCACTTCAGCATGCAACCAGAAGTTAACAATGCATGGATCGAAAGTCGTATCGTCCCCTAAAATCAGCCCGATGCGAGTTTACATGTGTTGATTTACATGTGTTGACATAGTTTGGACTTCGAACAAGCACCCATACTGCACGATCATGAAGGTAAGTAATTCCTTCAGATCTGCACGACCGATCCGGTTGACTCATATCAATTTCGAATAATGTAAGCTAGGATCCTCCGGCGCAAAACAAAAAGACTGAAGAAGATCAGGTAGGTTTAACAAGTTCCGTCAACGGCCTTCCTCGCTGTCGAACTGTGTTGTATGCATGCACACTGCAGAATTAGAATGTACAACAAACGAAAGAGCTCAAGGGAGCGATCTCGGAGCAGAGAGTTCACCCTGTACGGATCCATGGTGGAAGCTGTGTTGAAGAGACTGCTGGTGATGAGGCCCCGGGGTATCCTGGAGGAATGGTATGAGGGACGAGGCTGATACTGCACGGGGTTAGCACACGCTCTATATAGTAACCAACGCTCGGGTTGTCACCGGGTCCATCTACCCAATGCCCTTCCTGCATGGAACCGTTTCCCACCGCCCCGTGTCCCTCCACTGACAGTACTCCACACAACTGGACCATGTTTCCACCAGGCTGCTGTTCAGCAGTCATATCCGTAGTTTATTGAACATATCAGTTTCTTTATGATTTGTAAAGTTAGCTTATCCAAAGTCCCTGTTGTCTTTAGATCTAACTTTTCCTCAGGTCTACGAGAATTAACTTGTTTAAACTACAGTTTTGCACGCCAACAAACTTACCAAGACGTCAGTTTCACGAGAGTTGGCAGATCAGTATCAGAGAATACGTTGGCCACCCAAAAGAAAGTAAGGAAACCAACTAACGGTGTAGATTTGACTCTGTTTGATTTAGTGATGTTTTGGAGTTCACGATCCATGAGAAAAACTTGAATGCGAAACACTAGTTAACCATGTACTGCAAGGTTAAGATGGAGTGGATAATAGATGACGTTGTCATAATCGAGCATCTGTCACTGGCATCTGTTCCGAGCTCAAGGCATGACAGTCCAGCAGCATGCACAAGCTCAGGCAAGACCCAGCTCTTAATCGGCTCAACACAGTTTAGTCAGTGATATCGTAAATCGAACTTCGGATTAACACGAAGATAGACGCACGACTCTCCTGTGCATAGCTTCACTGCTGATTTCATCAGTGAGCACTGCACAACACCACTGTACTGATTACACGATCCGCATTGGAAGGAAGATGACAGTACAGAGGTTCGAGATGGAGAAATCCAGACAGATCGCCGGGAAGGCTGGTGAGATTGAGAGTGAAGTGGCACCACCGGTGACATAACGGCGACGCCTTTCTCATCAGCATAGCGTGGGGATCCAATGACGCCTTCTGCACAAGTTACAGGGTCTGACAACGGAGTCCCTCAAGGACAGCCCTTCTCGGCACCACTGTGGTCCTCTTACACACCCTCGTGACTGAAAAATCCACAGTAGCTGATCAACCCGTTTCCGTGCGGGCAATGCGCACTCGGCCATTGGGTTCCGAGCAAAACAGGTGCAGAAGGAAGTTGCACTTGTGAAAACACTGGACCGGGCATGAATCTCGCCACCATTATGAAGATATTTTGTGGAATCGGCATGTGATGGGTGAGCTGAGGTCATGTTGCGCCATCTCCTGAGCTGTGCTGTTCATCTCTTGCTTCCTCTTCCGTCTGCCCCTACTGCCCTGTTGATGTATCAGGTACAGTCAAGGTGGGCATCTCAGGCATTGGACAAAGAAGAAACTGAGCCTGACAAGCCCCATAGGGATTGTGGTAATGGGAAGGGGGGGGGACCATAATGCAATTGTGGTACCCAACCTCATCTTCTGAGGGTGGCTTTGTTGGTACCTGTCACCATTGGTATGACTGGAGCATCCTTGTCCATCATGGTAGGACAAATGGTGTGTTGCTCCTCCAGATGACGATGCCGTAGACCTGACATTGCTCCTACTGCTTAACCTCATTAATTAATCAATCATAATTATAATACTAATAAAAATAATATTATTACTATTACTGATCATATCAATGATGGCAAGAGTAAATTGAAGACTGGTATGCAAGCTGCACCGTGCAGGTTGGTAGTCACTGTGAAGCTATTGATTATGAAGTTTTGGGTTTTCTAATGAGTAGGGGGAAAAATAAAATAAAATAAAATAAAGTTGTCTGTTTTCTTGACAATCCCATGCAAAGTTGGGGTATATTGTGAACGGTTAAACCAAGAATTGTTATGATTTTGTAGCTAGGATTTCGAACACCCACCTTTTTGATGTTATTCTGTGAATTTGAGAAAGATTTACTAGCTTTTGGTAGTTAAGGATCATTTGGGACCAAACAGAAGTCTTTTTCACTAGAAGGATGCATGTGTTGCACTGCAAATTAAGTTTTCTATTATAATATGGTGCAATGTACATGATTTAAGAAAATGTATTGAAATTGTTTTAAAAATGCATGTTGAGTTATTGCAATGAGTTGGACTTTCTAGTGGGAAGCTTTACTATGAAAATTATTGGAGCACTTTATAGAGGTCTATGTAAGGTCCCAACCCACAAAAGAATGGCCAGGAAATCTTTTTGTAAAACATTGGGATCTTTATTTTTTGAATGACAAGTCTAAAACTGCAGAAAACACCTCAAAGAAAGCTGTTTGTAGAAAGATTAAAATTTCTAAAGAGCTTTTGACATAAAATAACAAGGTGGTAAGCCTTAAAAAAAAGTCAAAGTTTAAAAAATATAATTTCTTAGATAGATAGATAATCTTAAATATATACTGAGTTTTATACAAAAATCGCATGATTATATTAATAATAAAATAAGAAGTTATATCATTTTGATTTAAAATATAATATGTTAAAAATGTGTTATATGTTGAAGATATGTTATTTATAAATACAAAGTATGTAATAATCATTAAAAATGATAATAGCATAAATCAAAATTACAATAAAATTGACATACATATTTCTATGATGATTCAAAGATTTGAAATAAATAAACTTATCATATTTTATTTAAATATGAAAAATAATAAAAATAATAAAAGAACATGATGTCATTTAAAGGACATTATATGATTTTTTTTTTTTAATTATAGTTTTTTTAAACATGCCACGAAATAACTTTTGAGGAAAAAAAAATTAAAAGTATCCTTAATAAAAACCAATTTTCTATAAAACTACAGCACATAATAAAATTCCAGTTTTTTTCCTTTTCATAAATCAATAAAATAAATATAATTTAACACATACATGTAATTTACTAATATATAAATCATTTTTTATGGTAATTACATCCTGTTTTCAAAAAATAATTTTATGGATTATATATTATTAAAATTTTAATTAAATTCACAACATTATTTTTGAAATAATTCAAAAAGTGTGTGCATTTTATAATACTGTGTAAACCAGGAATAGGAATTTGACATTCAATGAAAATCATTGCTGCTATCTTCATTTGAAAATCATGGTTGCAAATCTTCTGCAGCATGGTATGAACATGAGTCACTCACAAATACAACCCACATCTCATGATCTGAGGGCATGGTTTCAGACTAATTCATGCAAGTTGTGTGATAGCAAGACCATGTCAATTGGCCATTCATAGATTTTCATATCCTTGTGTGAAATTGGTCACTTTTGTGGCCAGTGATGGACATTTTCAATTTATTCAACACTAAGAAATATCTGAAAAATAACATTCTTAATACATTTAAAAATAAAAGAAAAATAAAAGAATAAAGAGAGAAATAGTGAGCATTGCACTCTTATCACAGCAATTACCATCAAGCATGAGACACAGTCAACTCTTTTTAGTGTCACCTTGAAACGCTGCATAATCATTTTTGGAGTGATCATATCAAAGCATTCATGCTCTGAATGGCAATCACCAACTCTATCTTGCCTTTCTTAAGTGTGCACAAAAAACTTGATTCCTGTTGGGGTTTTAGTTTCAGATTATGCTACAGGAGTAGTACAACTTAAATATGAGTTTCTGCAGTCAAAGTACATAGACTGGATGGTGAGAGAACCTACTCTCTACCAGAGGAGATAAGTCAGGATGACAGAGAATCATTTTTCTACCAGTCGTAAGACCAGTCCTGACAACCATCCATATGTTCTGTCGTATCAAAGAATATGAGTTCTGCCATGTCGAAGAAAAGGGAAGAGAATCCTGATCGTCGATGGTCATTCAGATAATAGAAAATGAAAAATGGGTTTGTTCACGCTTCACGCCGGTTAAGAAATTTATAGTAGAAAAAGACAGAAAATAAAAACTACATTAGTACGGAAATTGCAAAGTACACGTCAGACTTACTACAAAGTATGAGTTGATCATTTCCAACAGGTACGAGTCAATTAGTGAACATCTACAACACGTTATCTGCTTACTGAATAGTTTCAGGATTCAGAATTGGAATCCTCGTGAAATATCTGAACATGGAGCACGCTAGAGCCATACAGCCCTGGGTAATGAGCGGAGATGCTCTTCGGAGGTCGATCGTGCAAGTCTTGCAAAGCAGAGGAATTTATATTTCATTTTATCAACTGCAAACTGGATTCCAGTCGCGCAGGTGAGGCTGATGTGCACAATCTACTTTGTCGAGTTGCTAAAACTTGAGTTAACTCAATAATCCTTTGTAATCTACTACCAGACAACCCATAGGTTGCAAAATTACATACTCAAGGACTTGTATGCCACCTCAACACAAATATCAGAGGATTGAACAATTTCTTTTGAGAGAATATGGTACAAGAATGCAGCAAGCTACCCCATATGCAGCGGCAGGCTCGTTTGAGGGGCTCCCATCGCGTTGAGTTGACCAGAAATCTGGGTAGAATGTGGCTCTGCAGACTGCGTACTCAAGTCTGGAGGTCTTGAGCTATGATTTGGATTCAACACAGGTCGAACATGCGGAAGCCCATAATTAACAATGGCACCCACCTGCGGTGGTGAAGGTTGTGATGAAGCCAACTTCAAAGCCTGGTTTGGGGCAGTTGGTGTGGAGAGTGGCTGAGAAGAAGACAACATTTGATTGGTACCATATGGAGCCCGGACCAAAGAACCAGATTGCAGACCATATGGCGGAGTGCTAGTGTACATTGGCGGTTGCACATACTGAGTTGGTCGCGGCGCTCGAGTAAGGTGAACATTCGACTGCATCTTTGCCCTTGCAATTGCATCTGCCTGCAGAAGCCCCAGATTGTGCGCCTGAGCCTTACTTGCCTCGATTTGTCCAATATTCATACTAACCGAGGTAGGGACTGCTCGAACTGCAGTACTATATACAAAGGTTGGTGCAGCTTGCGATGTTGAACCAGTCCATCCTGACAGTGAACCGTTCACTGAATCTGATGAAGTCTGCATTAACATGCCTGAAGTGGGTAGGCCAGATTGATTTGCTGGAGCCTGGGAACTACATGTGGGCCATCCTGTTGATGCACTCGGTCCATCACTAGTGACAGGCATACTTTGACTCCTGCCGTACTCCACCTGATACTCTGGCTTGGAATTTTTATCATTGGATGATTCCTGCTTCAGGTACAAGGCTCTTAGAATGTAGCAACCGATCGACCAGGTACACGAAAAGTTCGGAAGGCTGAGGATACAGCAAAGATATAAAACGGTAAGTGAACAATTCCAAAATATATCTCTAAATCTTGAAACACCGTTTCGTACACCGAGTGGATGTGTAAGAAATCGTTATTGAAAAACATAGGACAAAGAACCAACCATCGTTGATTTCTCTAGAAACAATGCTCCACTTCCTGCTCCTGATGTGAGAATGGCATTAGTGACCGCAGTCAGCAAAGAATTTATTGCGGTTTGAGCCACGGGGATTACCGTCAATGAGCGAGATGTGCTAGGTGTAGGGGCAAAAGAGGCTGTGGGGACTGGAGGATGAGAAGTGGACGAAACTCCCGGAAGTCTCCGCAAAGATGTCGAAGCAATATTCTGATCGATTCTTGTTGGATTGGCCACGTTCACACCAGAAGAATATCTCTTGAAAATGGTGCCAGGAGGAGCTTCGTGTTCACCAATCCAACCTAGCCCAAAGGGAACAGAAGGCGCTAATACTCTCTGCAATCTTTGAGCCGCATGCTTCCAACCCTCAGGTCCTAATTTGGCTGAAAACCGAGACAAGCTCTTTGCATAGGCCATTTCTGACTGATATCCTGTCTGCAATGCAAAAATAGAGTTCAATGCTCTGATAGGCGAATAGAATATCACGCTCAAAAGTCCCTCGAGAACAATCAACTGTTTGAAGTGATTTCTTACGAAATGGGAGAACGAAGGCACGTGAAACTCACTGGCACAAGGTGATGCAGTTCTCCACCAACTCCAGCAAAAGGTGGTCCTCGTCCATGAGCAGGGAGACTCCGTGGCTTGTAAGTACTTCTGTGATACTCATCCGTTGATAAAGGCTTTCGCCCATCCTTGAGAGTAGCCGGCTTAAGTTGGATCCCTGAGCCGCAAAATAAAACAAAGAGCCGATGCAATTACAATTACTAAGGAAAAGTAATATTACAAACTGGTGTGCTAGCAATCATTAAACACCAGGAGATTAAAATGACCCTCAAAGATGGAATCATTAACGGAGAATTGAAATGCAGCTTTATACTTGAAGGGTACGTATGTACTTGACAGGACTTTTGGCTGAGTTTTGAGAAGTTACCTTGGTCATCTAGCACGTCTGCATCTGGCTCCGGACCGGCAGATGCCTGCGATTGAACTCCCCACCCTGGCTCATCTACAGCAACGCTACCGGATCTATCTGATGGAGCCCCCTTTTTGGAACCGAAGGTGTCAGATTTTTTCGGTTGAGATAAGTCATCTCCCTCAGCTGCTAGACTAGCACCAGAAGCAAAATCAGAATTTGCAGGCTGCAATAAAGTCTTTACAGCAGCAGTGTTCTTCCATCCTTTCTTTGGTGGATGCGGCTGCTTTTTATGTGATGCAGGCTTGGCAGTTCCTGCTTCTGGAGCACCAGATTGACTAGGCAATACATCCAATGCTTTTCGAGCTGCTTCCTGAATTGAGCGCGCCTGAACAAACACAGATGAGAGTTACCTCGTCAAGTCACATATAAATCCAATTGGTGGGCACCATATCAGGATGGAGAGACACCAGTACTAAAAGTAAATAAGAATATTAATGCCTGTACATAGACATTAGGTGTGCAATCTAGACGTGGAAGACATACCTGCTTGTAATAGATCGTTTCTGGACCATTATACCGCATAGCATTGTTGCAAATAAGCATGATATCCTTCTGCACAAAGCAAAGAGCGACACATAAACCACTTATCCAGCACAATGATCAGATAGAAAAGAAATAGAGAAAAGAACACTTTGCGAAGCACACATGAAATCTCAGATTACAATCTTTAATGTAAATAATTACTTAAGTAACAACAATAAGTTACCTCAAATAAACTTTTCGTGTAATAAGAACCCTTCGCAATCTTCTTATACATCGTACCAAAGTCCATTGGCTCTTTGATAACGTCATAGTAGTCTGGAACCTGAAATTCAAATAAATGGAGGACAAGGAAAAGGTTACTAAAATAATTCAATAATTTTTGACAAATTAAAGAGAACACGGCACGAGTGGGGCAATCTTGAATCCCTGGGACTCAAAAATCGCAATTCAGACTTGAAAAAATGTTCAAAAGCTGCGGCAGAGGAGTGAATGCAATGCTTAGATCTGCTGCGATCAATTACCCTGTTAATTATTAAGAAGTTTTTAGTGAGAAATTAACATACCAATTTGGCATCCACTGGTTCTGAAAAAACTCCGTAAGTATCTTTCCTATAAAAAGATTCCAAAAGAACAATTAATCAACTCCACAACTCGTACTACTACCTCATTCCAGAACCTGTTCATAATATAAAATAAGCAGACGGAATGATAAATCAGCATTAAACTTCCATAAATTATGCATTTAAGCATGAAATAAGTAGATCATTTAAATAGTCAGCGCACTCACTTTTTCAACTTGTCTAGCACACCTTCAAGCACCTTCTTAACAGGCGCCGTTGTGGCAACCTGTCCTTGTCCTGTCAATAGTCAAAAAGTTATCAGGGCCCGGAATACATTCCTAACTGAAGATTTGAGAAGATTGAGCTGAACCATGAGCGTCAGCAGGTTTCAACGGAAGGCAGATTTCAAAATAAGATTTAAGAAAATTACTGGACAAAAGCACGCCGTACAAGAAATGACCAAACGACAACTGACACTACACCGACATAACCTTACCTGGCCTTGCAAGAGTTTCAGCAACGCCATTTACTGGCTTCGCCTTTTTCTGAAAGACGCGTCAGACAGTCAGATGTAGAGACATTAACCGCGACTCTCTTAAAAACGAACCGAGACATTTACTTGAATACATATTCCAGACAGTAAATGTTCCTGCAATTGGCATTAATACATTCCAACAACAAACACCCCTTCGAAGACTAATAAGTTCCCTTGTTTCCGAATAAAAGAAATCCATAAAGCAGACCCTGAGGAGCGGACTGATAACGATACCTTGTGAGAGGGCTTCTTGGCTAGAGGAGGTAAGGGAGCTTTGAAGACAGGGGAGCCTACAACAGTAGTAATGGGGGAACCATACACCCCTCCATGATCATCTTTGGCATCTCCTTCAACTAAAGTTTTGAATTTACGCTTCTTAGGAGGGGTACCAACACGATCGTTGGCACTAGAAGCCGAAACCTGACCAGCTGACTTCAACGGAGTGTCAGTTTCCGTCACTGGGGAAACTCGCAACTTGTGCGAAGTTCCTCCAGATGATGCAGATACATCAGAAACCCCACCCTTGGTATTGCTGCTTGATTTGTTTGGTAGTTTGAGTATAACCTTAAGTTTCTTATCCTTGTCCGCCATATCCTACTTTCCTCTTTTCGCTACACTGTCCCACTATTACTAATGCTGTTGACATACGACCCCCAATCCTTACATCTCCTCAATGTCCCTAACTTCAGCAATTTAGAAGCATGGTCGAAGTCTTATCGTACACTTGGACTGGATCAGTGCTCTATGGGCAGCCCCACTGTCCAGGGAGAGTAGGTAGTAGAGCTAAGGCTTGTGTCCTTGCTTGAGACTCTTCCATCTTTCCACACCACAGACAGGCTTTTCTTCCCAAGGCGACCGATGGTCATTCCACCAAAATGACATGATGCCCTCCGTCAACCCAATCCGCAATCTATAGATTTCACATAGAGGCAACCTGCAATATCCAAAAAGGAAATCAAACTCAAACCCGTCAGCTCTTACTGACCAAAAACATGTAAGGTTTGAAACTAGAGCAAATCTAAATTGAAGCAAGCTCATAGCGTTCTAGTTGGCGAAAAAATGTCAAAAATTGGTGAAGTAGAAACTGAATTCTTTACTACGTTTCGACTCTGTGCCATTTCCCAATCACATTCTTCGAACCGGGCAACATTCCAGCCACCGAAATCTCGATTAACAAATGAATCATCACAAGAGCCATATCCGAATCCAGCTTGAGCAGCAGGGTTGCACATAGACAAATCTAGACACTCAACTCTGTTCTTTCCTTAGTTCAAATCGTCTCTGATAGAATATGATCAGATATTTCCCACGATGGCTACTATAGCAAAAGTTAGCCGGAACAAAACCAATTTAGAGTACTCTAATTAAAACACACCTATGAAAAAGAAGATTTAAGGCTTCATGAAAATCTGTAACGTGGACATTCCAAATAAGTAGAGGAACTGGTCCCACCAAGTAAGCGGAACATTTTTTTTCATGGATAAACAAAGTAATCATCAGAACAACCACCAATACGGAATCATATGACATCACAACGTATGTATCCATTCCATTCGTTTCCGCATGAAACGATCGCATTCACGCATGAATCGTCGGACAAATCAGACTGGGCAAAAATCTGAATGACGACCATTTACTCACAAAACTTTCATCGACTAGTGATACACGGATTAAAAATTACGAACTTTTAGCATGAAAACTGCACCCGTCCAGACATTTCGCTGAAAATCCTTGAGACAGGAATGTGAAAATGGAAGCTCTTCACGCGAGCACGGTCGTGGTAAGTCTCCAAAGAAGCAACCAATATTTCCGCAAACGACTTCATCAATGCATTAGTTCCCAGGCAGTAGCCCGCACACCATACCTATGCGCAATGCGAGTCACAAGCTGACCTAGATCCACAGTGACGCCGCTCCGGCCTCGAAACTTCAAACCAATATCACCATAAAAGATTTGAAGCTCGTGCTCAATGTACTCGAGATACCAACTTTTCCACCTCATGTCCAGAGGAAACAACCAAACCCTGTCCATGAGAAGCTTCAAACTCTTCACAGACCCAAAAACTTAGGTCCCAAACCACCAAATCTTAGCAAACAGCCACGCTAACGTGGGCGCCGAAAATAACCATGCGACTGGCAAATCCCAAAATCAATCCAACCCAATACATCCGAAATCGCAATTTGACACCCGACAGTGTCAGCCACTCCAATCTGCCTAGCACAATCCCTCGTTCCGTCCTCTTGAAAACCCTAAAACCGGAAAGAGTTCGAAACTAGAAAACCACGCATCACCCAACAAATTTTTTTGTTGTGATATGGCAAAACAGGCCCCTTTAGCCGAGGACCGAGAGTCGCCTATCGGTGTAAGGCTCAAAACGAAACTCCACCACACAAACCCTAAAAAAATCCAAACCACTCTCAACTTAAAAGATTCGACGAAAATCCCTCACCCCCCTCCCCCTGCCTCCCCCTTTCCTCGGTCAGATATAGAGGCAGGAGGATTTCAGACAGGGTTCAGCAGTCAGAAGGTAAAATAGTAGGAGGAAATGCACAGAGCTTCATGACTCTCATCAACTCACGCTAGGATATCACTAGACACGGAATTGCGCCTACCCAGTATGTGAGATGTTTCTTCCCTCCCCCTGCCCCGTAGCGTCGTCCGATGATTGTAGGAAAGGTAGAGGGCAGGGACACGGCTCTGTACAACACGGCGGTAAGTGTGGATGCTACATGCTACCCTCATGGTCAATACCTTGCATGGCATGGCAGCCCCCAGACAGAATGATCCGGCAGAACTTGAAAACTCAGGCTTGAAAGCAGGAGAGCCCTCCCGTTTGACTTGGATTGGAATTACTTACTCATGCACGAAGAGTTAGGCAAAAAAATATATATATATATATAATAACGGATGGATATGGATCACACAAACTCCCAGTGTACGCTTTGGCAGAGCAGGCGCCTACAGTGGGAAGTAAAAGCAGGTGGTGAGACTGATGCCATTCTCATCTTCCTCCTCCCTTTACAAACCTTGAGCCGGACCCGACGCAAAAGCCAAAGCCAACAGCGGGGGTGCGGTGATGCTGCTACCTACATCCACTCTGCCCACCCACGCTTTACGATTCCCGAAGATTCGTTGCGCTAAAGTATTCCCAAGTCCCTTTTGCATTCGTGGACTTCATTCCGTCTCCACCCAAACGCTTCCGCGGCACCCCATTCTGGATGGATGATCCGTTACCGAATATGGATGGATGAATTCATTGGATTCGGGTGATATGATGGAATGTGAAAATGGAAGCTCTTCATGGGGGGATGATATCGTGCGGTGTGAAGGGGGATGGCAGTTGTGGAGCTTCGGCTCTATTCAGAAGAAGGGCAACCTAGGTTAGGAGTCCCGAACCTGAGTTTGCCCTTCCCCCCTCGGATAGATAGTTCTCTTTCTAGAAGCACGCATGATTTTGTGGGTTCTCTCCCTCTGTGTATGTATGTATTCCCCATGATGCGAAGTTCGTTTTTTTCCCCTAAAATAACAAGCTGTAATTCAACCACTTTGATGTGATATTATCAACCCATTTTACTGCTATCCATTGATATAATTCATGTTATCGATTTATTGGTGTGCATGTGTTGGGTGGTCAGGAACATATACAAGCACAAGAATCAACTCAGATGTTTAACAAATTGTGTAATTAAAGCCTGCTAAAGTAAAAATAAACCATTCGAGTTAACCAAAAAGGAAGAGGAAAAGAATAAAGAACATTCTCACCCTTCATGATATGACGCTTTTTTCTATCAACAAATACACTAATTGAATCGTATAATCTACTACCAATTATTATGTAATTGAGTAGATGTGTAATTTAAATCTTGAAATAAGATTCCAGGTACTCGTTACTTACTTGTTTTCTCTCTTGAACATAAATAGATGTAAAGTATGTTCTGTAGTGGTAGTAATATATATATATATATATATATATATACATAAATCTATGTGTACGTAATGTAAAATTTAAGTATTCTACACTTGACGGTGGATCTTTTAAAACTCATCCAAACCTTACAACTTCTAACTTATATGCTACAGGCAAACAAATATCGAAAGTGGTCCAAGATAGTTGCTTCAGTTCATCATTTTCTGTTTAAAAAAATGTACCTCAAACAACTACAGTTCAGTTTTAAATTAAATTGAAACGCTTCCTGAATTAAGGATAAGTATTGGAATATACACGAAACAATAAAAGAATTCAGCTCTATCAATTTCCACCAAAAAGAAAGAAGAAGAAGAAGGTGGTATTCGGTTCAGTAATCGATACTTTTTCAGAGGCAAAATATACGACTAAGCCACAAATATTTGTTCTATAGTAACATACCAATTATATGTTCTACGTTGATCTCCAAAATGAATCACAAAATTTTATAAAACTAAATTGGATACTAGAGATAATCGACTTAATGTCTTACTATGAATCACACGAATATGTTGCATTCCGCTCAAACCATAACATTTCTGTTGTATTGGTTTCGAGTCATTTCAGTAGCTTTGGTCTTTTCGAACTCCACACAAAAATTTGAGTCATGATTTCAAACTGATTTGCATATATTCTCGTATTCAAAATAGAATTGAGGAACAATAATCCTGCGGTGAAAAGCTTGTTGAGCTCAATTCCTCGAAGTGCCGTTCTCTACCCACATTTCCTCTGAAGCTGGGTAATCCGGAATTTTTCTCGTGGTCTTCACCTCAATTCTTCGAAAAAACATTGGGTGCGAATCTAGTTTTGTTATTAGGTAAGGTTAAAGTTGCCAGATTTGCAGTCGGCAACGGTGATCACGATGCAGGGAGCGATGGCGACGCAGCTACGCCGCTGCAGGAAGGCTTTGCTCGTGGTGGGCTACTATCAAAATCTCTGTTGTCGGTCGATGCAAACTGTTTCAGCTGCCCATTCTGATACATCGCTGAAGAGAGATGTTCCCGTGTGCGTGGCGCCTACAGTGGAGGCGTTCATGCATGGGTGCTATGCGGTATGAGTTTATCAGTACCCCTGTGGTGCTGTGTTGTGGACCAGGAATTTATTCACAGAGCTTGTGCTTGCGCTCAGATTTGATATGTAGGGTAATGTCGGCGTTTTCTAAGCAGGAATCTGAAGTAGTGATAATGCACTATTTTGTGACCATTTTTTGGATTGAAAGTGAGGGAGCTTCTTTGAGGTACAGAGTGGTTTAAATTGGATAATTGCGAGTTTTGTGTAAAGTTTTCAAGCTCAGATATTAGCCCTAGGAATTTTTAGTATCGGTTGGATTAAAAGAGGATGAAGAGTATGACGTCTGTCACTAAGCGGAGCAGAAAATGTCATGGATCAGGAATGGAACTTCTGAGTGATTTGGATTCGTGGCAGAGCAGGGGTCATTCTGCGAGAGTTGATCCCGATTTGAAACTGTAGCCTGAACTTGATGAATGCTCTTAGATCTGACTTTTAAGAATTAGGGTTCCATCATTGTTTCATTTGATGGTTCCTTTTCTATGATGATGAATTTCTTTGGCTGCTGGGTACACGGCAGGCGCAGACTCCTATGTTGATACAAGGCGCTATGGATACATGGGCACCGAGAAAATGGACACCAGAGTCGTTGAAGAATAAATTCGGACATTTAAGTGTTCCTGTTGAGCTAGGTTTTTGGAACGAGGAGGAAAGGAGGTGGGGAGATTATCGGGACCTTTACAAAGAAGACGTCACCCATGCTGGCTCAAAGGAGTATTTTATGCCTCATCAACCTAGTAAGATTCTTACTACATTCATTATCACTACTAGGGAGTACAACACATGTCTGAAGAAAGATCTCTGATGATTTAGTTCCACAGATCGTTCATGTATCTTTGTTCGTGTCACATTTGCGAGATTATCCTGTTGTTCTTTCAATGTATGAGCTATTGTGGAAGTTTAGTAGCAAAACAACATTCCTACTTCCTTTCTGATTTTGGCAGCTGTTGTGAAGCGATAGGATACCATTGTGTACAATTCTTTAAATATAGAGATAATGTACCTCGTCACTACACCAAAAAAGTGCATGCTTATCATGTGGAGGCATGATGTTATCCCTTGGGTGGATGCAGTGTTATTAGCAGACTTTATTGACGTTTTCATGTGCAAAAGGGAAGATCCTTCCTCACGACCACCACTTATTGGGTACATGGCTCAACATCAAGGACTTACTGAAGTGGCAGCTGACATACCGTAAGAGTAAGCTTTCCTTGATTATGATAGATCCGTAGCTTTATTCAATTTTCCTTCATATAGGATGCTCTTGAGTCGAGCAAAGATACAATCTTCTTTATATCCTCAGAAAGCTGATGCACTCACCCCCTTGTTGCTTTTGCATTTAAGAATTCTTCACTTACAGTTCATGCTTCTCCCTTTGCCACATGTTTTGAAAAATTCTCTATTGAAGGGTATAATCTTTCTGCTTGGATGGTAGGGACCCAGAGTATGTAAAAGTCCAGCGGGGAGTTGATCAAAGAAACCTGTGGTTGGGTCCTGCGGGGACTGTTTCACCACTTCATTATGATCCATACCATAACATTCTGGCTCAAGTAATTTTCTGTCCATATTTCCTTCGTATCATACTTCACTGGTACGTCGGAGTGCTCACGCTCCTATGGTATTGTATAGATTGAGTGAAGTCCCCTGGATAGGCACTTGACAAGGGGTTGGATGGAAGGTAATCTGCCCGTCATAGTAGTGTTGACTTTGTTGGGGATTCTCCACAACTGTGTGTGAACGCTCTACAGGTCTTTGGAACAAAGTACATTCGCCTTTATGCTCCTAAAGAGAGCTCCAGATTATACCCTTTCACATCAAATATGTTCCTCCGCAATACTTCACAGGTGCAGATCGAAACTCGGTCGCTGAATCATATTTGACTGGTCTTCGTCAAGCTGCAGCTTTGTATTCACCACCTGGTAGCGAGGATACTTGTGATTGCATGTATTTGTACGCTTTCATAGCTCCAGTGATTGGTTTGACCTCTTATTGTGACTGAGTTTGCTACCACATCTTGTTTCTGATAGGTTAATCCGGAGGATACCCACACATATCAGACATGGCCAGAATTTCAGAAAGCTGAGTTTTGGGAGTGTAAGTTACGTGCCGGCGAGATCCTTTACATTCCCTTGAAGTGGTAAGCTACCTGTTGCTCTTGTATCAGTGAGTCTAGTCAAAGGATGACTCCCAGCATTGGTGCTACGCTTGTGTTGAGTTTCCGACCTGTTTGATTTCGATCTACCCATAAAACACAACTTGGTAATTGAGACTACAGAATTCTGTATCAGCATGTTCTTGTCACCGTTCAGTTGGCAGTGCCATAATTAGTATATCAAACAGTTACAATATAGGAAGTGAATGACGGAGTGAAGCAGGGTCCATTAATACTTGAACAGGGATATCAACTGCTCTGAAGCTCTGGGAATTCCCGGAATGCGATTTTCTTTTGTTTTCCAGGTGGCATTACGTGAGGGCGGAGAGCAACAGCCTGTCTGCAAGCTTCTGGTGGTCTTGAGAGGCATCTAGTTCTGCATGTTGTCCAACGTATTTACCACGGATGATTGAATGGCATCGAGATGAATAAGTCTCAGTAAAAGGAAAGCAAATTGAAAAGTGCGAGAATGAGTCTAAGTTTGCTACCACAAGAATATTGTCTGGTCCATCAGAAAAAAAACGTATAATCTTTCGAGGGTGCATAATCAGATGCAATAATATTCGGAAGCTAATGCGAACTCATTGCCATCCAAGCATTGTAACTTGGTGTGTTAACTTCCAGCCTACCCTATTTTAATTTATCCCCAGATATGCAAAGCGTGTTATATGCGGCAGAACAAGGTTCATGACGCTCCTAATGATGATGCATGATGGAAAAGGAAGGAAGAAGGATTCGTTTTGTGGAGGATGGTTGCACTGATGTCTATGTGTGAGGATGTCCCCAGACGATCTGTGTTTATTAAGCACACCTTCACTCAGCGCGTTCCAAGTAGTCTAGGTGAAGATCCTTATGAGTTTTATGGTTCTTTGCTAGAAATCAAACTTGCCCAGCTGCAACAAAAGATTCCATTGGAAGCGTATTTCAATATGGGATTGAAGATTGTTCGCAGACTTTTTCACTAAGGCAAAAGCTTCTTATGATCGCTGCGACATCTTGAGCATGTTCTTGGGGAGGACAATCGAGCATGGTCATCACATTCTCATCAGGATGTTAAATAAAAAGTCGAGACTTCAGTTGCACTTATACTCAAATGCATCCAATTACTCTTAGTATGTTTCATTTGTTGTAATAGTTTTGCGCACAGGGTTGTGATTACAGTCACTTCGGTTGTACAATGGAGATACATGTGCACATATTCTCTTGGCTATCGTGTAGGTACTTTGGATAAATCACTGGTGCAACTGTTCAATGTTGGTGAGGTTCATCCCGCAGGCGGGTGACTAAAGCTGCAGCTCTATCATTACGTCTATGTGGATGCTTATGGTGTACACCTCACAACTTTATTGCTTCATTATTGAACTGCTCTACCAGTAAGAGCAGCTCTTGTATCGTCTGTGAGTCATCTTGCGCATTCGGAAACAGAATCTAATTGGGTATATACAACTACCGTTTCTCATGGTCAGCGAGTAAGTGGCCTCGGCTCTAAACGATGTGCACAAGGTTGGGGCTCTTCAGTTTACATGGGCGACTCAGATCTGGCTTGCTAGTTTGGTTCTCACAATGAATCATACAGGTACGGAGTTCCCGACAGCAAAATTATTCTGCGGTCGATCAGTTGGAGTTTGATTGATGACGTCCACGGGAATTAGCTTGAAAATTTTTACTTAAATTGGACCTGGAATGTAACAATCGCGAGTCGTAGCATGAATTCCCAAATGGAAGGAATGTGTGGCTCTTTATGCCCTTCACATCCACTGTGACCTCCTCCGGACATCCAGCAGCACCACTGACTTGATCGTCAGGATCCGTGCGAAGTTTGGGCTCCCAGTCGCAACAGTCGGAGCTCAATATCCTCAGGTGGTTGTCTCTGCGGTTTCCAGATTCTGCGATTGTAGAAAGATCTCCCGTCGACTGGAGCTGCTGACTGTCGTGCTCAGTGACTAACGATGAGGATGGATCCGGCCCGGCTCTCTGAATATTAACTGGCATTTTGAAAACATTTCCAGATAGGTCTGGTTTATTTTTAGATTTATCTGTGAAGGCAAGGTCCGACACACCTGGATTCTGCACTATCACCAGCATGGGCCTGTTTTCGTCGCCAGTTTTTGAAATTGACGTTGGCTGCAAAGATATGAATATGTGTACAAGAATCAGAAAGTTCACACAATTGCAATCGGTGATCGTTTGTAGCATTCAACTCAGCATTTAACGACATTACGACTCTCTTGAGAACCCTAAGAAACGTGTCCAACACATCCGTAAACCCTCAGGAACGTATTCCATATTTGAATGGGGTGGGTAGGAGCTTACCACTCCGATGTGCCACTCCTTGTAATCCAAATTGCTAAAATGCCTCTCATTCATTTCCTGCAACCCAGCCTTTTGCAAATTAGTTTCATAGTGGATAGCGTCAAGCTATCAACCACATCCACAGGGACATGTAGATGATATTAGCATGCACTGCATCCAAACCAGGGTTTCGAGAAAGCCGAGAATGTGGCGAAGGGCGTGCGAGGTGGTAGTGCTTTAGAATTGGAAGGTACAGAAGAAGCCAATGTGCGCTACATACTAAATCCGGATTGAGCGACTTACCACACTGTAAATTGGAGGCAAGGTCCGCTGTCCAGATGTGTTTGATGTGGGCATCACATTGAAGAATGGAGTCTGTTCTCTTGATCTAAACGTCCACCTGCACTCAAAAAGAATATTACGCCAAGCATCCGTGAGATGTACATTGACCTCAGAAGTAAATGATGCGGAACTTGCACGAGCGGCGGTCCTTATAGGTAGTTCATAATACGATTATGCAAGTGGTTAAGCCCCCTCAGCTGGAGAGACGAAATGAATAAGACGAGAGGAGATGAGAAATGCCTCCACCGAGAAGTCCTACCCAATGAAGCAGAAGATTGCGATCTCCGTAGTTTCCCGCACTAGCAGGCGCACCCAGTACTCATTAAACACGCTTTCTGGTTGGGCGTGCATCTGTTCACACACGAAAAATACTCGAAGTTGTGATAAATCTGCAACCTTTCGGTTGAGTAGGATTAAAACTTTTTCCAACACATGTAAAAAGTTAGTGTGCCATGCCTATCTACACTGCTCACGACATGAAGGAACTGCACAGAACATGTTTAAAGCAGAAATATAACCACCCTGCATCCGATGATAAATCCACCAATTACAGAAATTTAAATGTTACTAGTTTCGGGACAAATCAAGGAAAATACGTACAAGGATTTCAGCGACCACCATTATCAACATTGCTCCTTGAAATTTTCTGCGGAATTACCCACAATTCATGAAGAACTAAATTCGCAGCTTCCCTAGAAGCTAAGAGAAAAATATCTAGCATGCAATAGATATGAAAATTTTGTAGCACAATGTTCAAGTAACATCAGACCAAAAGGTTTCCAGCACAACTTATCTCGTACCTGAACATAGCGTACTTTGTGTGAACAGCATTCTGCAACAAATGCACTCCCTCTGCCTGAATCTGCTGCAGTTGCTCCCTTAGAAGCGACAAATTCCGAGCAATGTGTGCCATTATAACGTAAAGCAGAACCGCATATATGAATACTACCAGAATCTGCGTCAGAAACAAAGTTGATCACCTTTCACGAGCAAGTCAAAGATGATCACAACCATGACGTCACTTAAGAATAACATCAACCTTCCCCAAAGTGCCGAGATTTCCATCAAAGTACGAACTGCAGAACCTCTATCAAAGAGATGCATTACTTATGCCACCCTTGCAATCTAAGGTGAGACACAATGCACTCTGGGACCCTCGTAGAACCTCGCACATTTTCTATTAACCGATCTTTGCGTGCAATGCTGTGACATCTGGCTAAATCCTTTCGGTTTCGAAGTTACAGGTGAACGCTCTCGGGCAAACTTACGGCAAATTGGGGGACGGCTGCCTTGTAACCAGTAAGGGTGAGATACAACAGCGAAGTTAGGCCGGCAACGCTCCGTCTTTCAGTCGGAGAAAGCTGCTCATGCATGATGCAGTAACCGTAAGATATTAACAAGAAGGTAACAAAGCACGCTGTCTCGAAGAAGATTCGTGATACGAACACTCCAAAGGCTACCCAGAACGAGCATGTCTTCAGATGCAAACACGAGTACCTGTCGTCACACCCAACCTTTGAGAAACTTACAAACTCCCCACAAATTTCACTGCCATGTAGCATGCTGCCCTGACATTTTCAAACTGCCTAACCTAGAACTCATCCCTGAAGGATGAGTGCTCTGAACAGATCTCGTACCCATTGTGCTGCTCTGTATGTGACCACTTCCTTGATTGGTTCCTTCAATTATTTCTACTCTGAAATGATCCTGAGTGGTTAAGGACTACAGTGGACCCAGAAGCTACTCAATCCGACGACAGTAAAATACTGTGTTATTTTATGCTCGACAATCATGGTGCATTGCGATATCTTCAAGACAGCAGTTATACATGATAAAGCTTGAGGCAATCACACATGTGCAAAGGAGCGTCGCCTCCATACCAGAAGACGAAGGAGAGGCCCATCACAAGAGACTTCATCGCCGGAATTATAGTCAATACCCATTGCAAATTGCTCGTCTGTAATCCAACCAATTCATAGGTGCCACATTAAGAAAAGGCCACATTATGACTCTGAAGCAGCAGCATTTTACTCCTCAAGGGAGTTCTTCGGTTGTTAGCCTCTAGAAACTCGCCACCCTATCCCTAATCCTCACTGTAGAAACAGACAGGCAGAATGTTGAAGCGGGGTGCTGAGCTCTCTTCTACCTTTTTCTGAAAATTGTGGCGCTTATGAGAGGTTAGAGATAAGTTCTGCTTGTTATCACTTGGCACGATTTTAGGGCGTACAGAAGTCTTACTACTTGAACCAGTCGAAGAGATTTCAAAGCATTTGGAAACTAGGTTCTCATCTCTTACTCACAAGGTTCTTGTTAATCCTAGCATTGGTTAGCAACTGTCAAGTCAGTGGAAGAGCATTCTCTTAAAAACTGTGGAGAATGCAGCAAAAATCTGGATCCTAAGATCAGAGCATGTTGCACAAGAAATCCAAAAGGCGTGTGGCTCTGGTGCATCTTTCAGGGAGGGTGCTACAAGTATTTTAACGTAGATTTATTGGATGGTGCCCTCAAAACGTAACCTATATTTTCTCCTTCACCAAAACAGAAAAGCAGAAGAGGCGTGACGCGGAAGTGGGGGATGATAACGGTGTACCTGCCATCGCCGCTTGGTCCAGGTGTTGAGAGTCCATACGAATACCAAGAGCATCCACAAAATTGCGAGGCCAGAGAACAGGTCAGGCAGCGGGTGGTAAGTATGCTCCCATTCGCTGGCAATGCTGTGCGGGGACGAATTTTTCGCTTTTGCTACGGCGATGGTGTCCATCATGGCAAAGACACCGCTTCTCAGCTCTACACCCGCGTGTCAAATATCTCACTCACCACTGAAAACAAGAATCTGTTCTTCACTTCCCATGCACAGCGATGTTCAATTTTCGCCAAGGAATCCCACAACATGCCCCTCGCAATTCGCGTCAGCACTCGCGAAGTGAATGTTGAGCAATGCATTAATTCTGTCGGAAGCGACGCTCCACATTCTAAATTCCCTCAAAGAACGAGCCAGAACGGTATCCATTCAGGTTACTGTACATGTCATGGATATGAAGACACGATGGAATTGACGACCAACGAATCGACGAAGTGGCTCTTCCTTACAGACCGCTATTTTTGAGGTGCTTGGGCGAAAGGGGTAAGTAACTGTGACGAGATTGGAGGATACCACGCTGATGGATTAAGTTGTGCATTCTGCGGAACAGACTCTTTTGGCCATTGCCGAGGAGGAGAATGCTTTCGGATCTCGGCGAACAGAAACCAATCCCAAAATCGTATGCAGGTCTTGACGTTACACACAATGGAGACGTTAAATGATGTCGAGAAACCCCGCATCAATACATCTTCACTTCAGCAGTCTCCCTCAGATTTCAACGAAAGTTTATGGAAACTGACTCCCACGTGCCGCACTCTACATCACACTTGTGCCCCGTTCATACGCTTTTCAGCACGACGTCCCACAATGCGATAGAAAGACCCCCTCCTCTCAATCTCAAAAGTTTCTATCGAGGCAATTTCGGTGGATTTTGTTGCAACTGCCAGTCTTCGTACTGCGCGTGGGTCGTGTCGTGAACAAGAGATTTCCCATCATCCAATTGCAGTGAGTGACGATCAATGATTAGCTGGTGGCGAGAAGGATTAAGACACCATTAGTGCTATCCACTGCGACCAACTTTTCATAGAAAGAGTGAATCCCACCCGATGAGGAAGGAGGGAGAGCTTGATAAAAAGTGCTAAGCACAAGGCTTAAGCAAGCTCCCCAATAGTGAACGACCAGCAATAAATTCGTGAGTCTGGGAATGATGGCGAGTCTTTCCCAATCCGATGATGGCACTCTCCACCATTATCCAGTAAGAGTAGGTCCCCTCACAACACCCCTCGCCATGATCCTCTCCCATCCACACACAACCTACAAACCCTTCGAGCACCTATGTCACATTCACGGAATTTCTTCCCCGTTTTACTGCAATTCCATGGTACACCATCTTTCGCTTTCATCGCCGCGGAGGACTGGCACGAAGACTCGCAATCGGTCAGTCGGCTATCCCTCCTATGCGGATAGAATCTTAGAATCACTCTCATTGGAATCCAAGCTTTGCATCAATCATGCACATACCAACGAAGAAGACACTTTCGGCTTCCAGGATTTCTTACGGTCAAGGTCAAACATGGCACAATTGTCGGAAGAGCTTTTGTTACACGACTGATGTTCGCATGTAAGATTGCATCGACTCGTACCGATGCGTCCTTTGACGGACCACCCTCATGAAAATACATACCCCCGTTACATTCTGCGCCTGCATGGTAAACTTTGTCTTGCTACAGAGTCGTTGATGTCAGTGTGTATCTGTCGTCAATCGGAGGACTGAATCTATGACATTATTGGCGATCACAACTGTGGAGTGCGTGAATAATGATTGCTAACTCTCGCCAATTTTATAATCACCATGCAGTGTGTCCCGGTCCTGCGAGCGAGTCATGGAATAGATGTGGGACCAGGAGGAGGAAGACACAGAAGTTAGGGTTACAACTCAGATCTTTTAGGTGATTTTTCCACTGCTTCTGTTTTCTGGTAGTTGAACGACTTCCTCGTATCGTTAACCTGGACAACTGCTCACAGATCTGGATTACTCGCCGTCCTCTTGCGTTCCCTTCTGCTATGACCGCTGCTGCTACAGCCCGAGAAAGGATGTGAGCTTTGTGCCGGTGGCGGACATTGTCAGACGATGATGCAATGGACGGGCCACTCCTCCGAAAACGCAAAAGCAACACTTGATGTTCGAGAAAGATCCAATTGATGAGGGTGAGAGTGTGGACCATGCCAATAATTCAAGGATTGCCCAATTCCTCTTGAGGCATCCAGAGAGAAATTCGCCGGACCGACGATGTTCCAGGAAGAATAATGTAAAGACGTCAAAGGAAAAGTGGTAAAGTGCGAGGCGCGAGGCGACATGAGTGATCGCGTTGGGAGTCGGTGCCCGCAACGCCGCATTCGCCCGTCACCGAGCTCGCAGCACAAGGCTTGTCCATGACACCCCATGAGCACAGTTGGACTTTGACCAGAGTTCCAGCTTCAATGGTTTCGTAGTTTCATCTATTTGGGGAATTTTGTCGTAGGATTTCACTCTCGCCCGCTGTGCTTAAAATCCTCACGAATTAGCTTCGTCGTGATTTTGAAAGAATTGACACTTCGTTCTCTGGGTATGTTTTCTAAAACTTGTTGCTGTTTTTGGTTGTTGCCTGTTTATTCATATTGAAGTTGATATTTTGGTGACATCAACATATGATCAGCCAGATGTTTTTGCCAAGTTTAATTTACAGTTATAATTTGTTCTTAATAGTTTTTGAGATATGGCTTAATGAAATATAAAAATGCATCTAATAACAAACTTAGTTCTAAAATAATATTAACACAAAGACTATGTTCATGATTCTATTGGTGTCTACGAGTTTGTACAGAATTGGTAGATTGTATGCTACATAAGTTCATTTTTTCTTAAGGAAATCCTTCTCAAAGCCACTAGTTTATTGGATTAAGGTAAACTATACGAGTACATTATTTTATTTAATAGCAAGATTAAAATTTATAATAGTTATAAAATCCTCCACCAAGTAATAATATACAAATTTACTTTGTTGCATTTATGTTCAAAAAGAATACCTTGATGATTAATAATATTTCTCAAATACTAAGTATTATAACTAAATATATTCTCAAGTCATTGCTTTTTATTAGAATCTATCTATCATTGTAGATGTGGCAAGAGAGAGAGAGAGATAAACTCATTTTCAAAGTTAAAGCATATTTGCATATCTGCATATCATGACATGTTAACAACTTTGTTGTGCAACTTCTTACTTCAATTGCATAACAAAGTTGCTCTTTCATCTACCTTTGTTACTAAACATAACAGCATGTATGGACAATGAGATATATGTTCTGGGTCTTGTGATAAATAATTTAATCAACACCTCCAAGGGGACGAGAAAGCAGGGAACATCGAGGAACGTGTCAAGCAAGGAGGCCAGGAGGCCAGGAGGGCTGGGTCTCTCACCAAGCTGGGGAGAGAGAGAATACGACAAATAAGGCATTGTGTTCGTGGGGTGGTATATATATTCGTCAGCTGCCAGGCTGGAATGTCCGAGTGTCGCTCCTGCTCTTCTTCCTGTCTCCCCCCCTCCTTTTCTCGTGTTCAGGCTTTTTGAATTGTTCTCTTCTGTGTGGAAGAAGACGAGCTAACACGAGTAGAGTTTTTGATCAATCTCCTAAGGTTGTAAGCAGACAGCGTTTGTAGTCCAACGGTTAGGATAATTGCCTTCCAAGCAATGGACCCGGGTTCGACTCCCGGCAAACGCACTAGCGGGGAGCTCTTTTGCTGCAGGTCGTTGTCCTAATTCTAATTGATAATGTTGGCAAGTGTCAGACTCGGTGTAGCGAGAGGCTTTCACTCCCACACTGGCAAACACAACCGCGACATCTATGGTCGGTGAGGCCACAGTACATCAGACACATTCCCTGGCCCCGCTGCTCTCGAGCGGATGGACGGACCTGCACTGCTTCGAACCGGACACAGCGAGAGCGCATCAGTGGTGGTGGTGGGTCACTGATGCAAGGAGCAGTAGTCCAGAGAAGCCCCGGCTACGCTAGTCACACTGCACACACAGCACTTCTCACACTTCTTCTGTACGAGAGGGTGAGAGGCAAAAGAATGTTTCTGTGTGTTGTGTTACCCGCACAGCCACTCACTCACCCGCGCGGTTGTACGTCTGAGCTGCTGCCTACTTTTGCACCGAATCCCATGCCACCAACATATGTCTCCATTTCTGCACAGCGTCCTAACCAAGGCTGCCTGCACGAACGAACATCTGCGAACTAAAAATTCCTGCATCATTTCGCTGTTTCCATGTGCAACTGCTTCAGCCTTCAGCCCTCAGCCTTCATCCACGAATCTATCCACCAGCGTGGCCTTTCGCAAGCTCCCAACTTGCCTCATTTGCTCCCAGACTCTCGTTTTCTTTTGGAAGCTGTAGTTGGCATGATTTTCAGTCAGTGGCTTCGCATCCTCGCCATGATCACTCCTGTCATATTGTGTCCAAAGCCCAAATCATGTGGCGTGCATAATGCTTCTTGCAACTTTCCACCGTTCTATAACCCTACTGCTTGTTTGCTTGAACAAGCACAACCACTCCAACCATTGATTGAATTGAGCTACTTGATAGGTTCGCTTTGCGAAAGCCATTTTTGGGGACTTCCGGAAAAGCACGTAGACTTGGCTAACAAGTTCCAGCTGAGGTCTCATTTCACAATTTTAACTTCCTCCATTTTCATGTTATTTTGTTTTTGTAATTTTTTATTTGCAATGCTTTCTATTCTTTCTCAGTATGCTCGTTGTTGTTGAATCTAACCACGTGAGTTTTTTTACGACGAAATAAATGCAAAATCCATTTCTGTAGAAATTTTGTTTGGACAGATTGACATTGCATTGAGATGGATCTGAAAAGAAGGTTGGAGATCGTCCAAATCAAAAATGAGCGGTATTCCAAAAAAGTCCCATTAAGAATCATATAGGATTCTCTGCTTTTTCAATGTGGCAAGGGAATGCATGTTTGGTGCCCAAATTTTCAACATACTGGTTGACTGTCTCACAAAGCCGGAAATGACCTATTTTAGGAACCTTGGTTGAATCTTCTTGCCTCACTTGCATTCTAGTAGGACTTGTTGCTTTCTATGTAGAATGTCTTGTAGGGCATTGCAATAGTGTGGTGGTACAGATGGGGTCAAACCTCACATACAACACATAATATTATAAGATGCTTTCAAATTTTTCTATGCTTGTCACAAAATGACATAGAAAATTTTGAAACAAAATTGTTTTGAACTTTTATCTATCAGTTTATTATGCTTTGTAGAAAAAAGAGGCAATAAATTGGTGCAATATTGGAAATCAGAATTTTAACAATTTTTACCAAGAGCCAGTTCAATTTTTTTTTTCAAAATATTTACAACTGTGTATTAAAAAGATAAAATAAATAAAGTATAACTTAGATATAAAAAAATGTTTTGATTTCATATTAAGAAAATTCCAATGCAAGTGAAATTGTTACTTAAAGTGTTTAAGTGCACAAGGAGTATCTTTTTAAATATGTTGTAAGGATGGATGGTAAAAGTACAATCCAATATTTTCAAACTTTTAGATTAAGTGTTTGAATTCCTCAAGCCAATATAGTACATTAGAAAAAACAATTAGAAAAAGAATACATGCTCTCCTTTTACAAGGATTTAATAACACAGGGTCACAAACTTGATAAATATGAAATCAAAGCAAAACATTACAAGTGCAGTAGAAGGAAAAAAGAATAATTCAATTGTGAGGAAGTTTTGCAAAAACGATTAACCATATAATCATTTTGGCAGTGACCAAAATTATATATATATATATATATATATATACATATATATATATATACATACATACATACATGGGGATTGATATTTTCTCTCAAATATTTACTATTTTTACCCAACATTGTGTTGCACCCATTGTGGTTGTTGTTATTGAGGTTTTGTGACATGTCCAAAGGCGATTTTGTTTTGATCAATGCTCCAATAGAACAAAACTTTGCCTTTGTTGGCAATGGGATTCAATACAGGATTTTTTTTGGCAGCAAGGTCCAACTCTCATGCCTTAATGACTTACTGGGCAAGGGTTCTATGAGAGCACAAAAATTTCCTCCAAAATGCCCAAGTAAAGTTGCTTCTGAAATGCAACATAACACAAAACAACATTAACAATAGTATGGTGGGTGCAACACAATGTTGGGTGAAAATAATAAACTTTGGGTAGAAACATCAATTTCATATGTATACTTGTAAAACTAAAAAATCTCAATGAAGAGTTTACTAGAAATTTTATGATTTTAGGCCAAAAGATCTGCTGTTAAGAGAAATTATCCTCTGAGAAAAATATATCAAACTCTGCTTGTATATTACCTTTAGAGCAATAAGTAACATTTTAATAACAATAATAAAAATAATTCTTGACGTTGATAGATTGGGAAATGCTAGGCAATTTCGTTATTTTGGATACGTACCTTTTACAAATAGATATTGAAATCAAATCATAGTCAATTTCATAATATACGAACTTATAGTTGTAGTATATTCTTTCCATTTTACATTTCAGCGCACGTGCATACACACACACACACATATATATATATATATATATATATTTCGTTGAAAAGTAAGATAAACTGTTTGGTAAGACAATGCCATAATCTTTACTGTGATAATTCATTTATTTCATTTAGTATCGACTGAAAAAAAATCATGATTACATGTAAGACTAAAACTTAAATATATGACAAACACATTGTTCATATTTTTTAAAAACACAATAATGTGGTTTTCTTTTCACAATTAGAAAGCATAAAATGCGTACCTAAAAATTCAAGTAAGCTGACGTAAACACAGAACTGAAAACCAAAATTTTTAAAACCTCTATCAAAATCCAAAAAAATGGTAACCTCTACATCCTTGATTATTTATTTATTTATTGACTTTTAAGTTGAGACTGTCACAGAAGTACATCCAGTCTGTGTGAAGAAAAATGGAGATTTTAGGAGATAAAATTTCCCATCCCATTCTCCTTATACTCCTGGTTTCCAAACGGGGCAATCTACCATCACATGGTCATCTCCAATTCTCCGCTAAATCCAAATAAGGTTTAGATTTAGAATGCATATCCTGTTTCCCCACGGATTCGCCACGTCGGTGCCGGTGCGGGTGCCGGGGTGAGGCTGGGTGGTACCGGCGTGGGTGCCGGTGTGGGACTAGGCGACGCCGGGGCCGGTTTCTGAGTGGGGCTAGGTGATACCGGTGCCGGTTCCGGAGTGGGGCTGGGTGATACCGGTGCCGGTTCCGGAGTGGGGCTGGGTGATACCGGTGCCGGTTCCGGAGTGGGACTGGGCGATGCCGGTGCCGGCGCCGGGAATGGCCAACCGGCCGCAGCATCGTCCAGAAACGAAACTGTCATGGCGGCGAATTCCACGACTTGCTGCTCCATGCTGATGATGGGGATCTGGTCTGGGGGCTGGTAGCCGTAGTCTCCTGTCTGGTAATGATTCGCGCCTATGACCGGGATGAATCTGGTGGTTTCTAGGTTCACGAGAGGACCAACCCCCTTCGGAGGTGGGTCGGTGTAGCGGTACCGATATCGATCGTAACCTCCTGGAGTCAGATCGTCGAGAGTGCCGTAGATGTTAGCCATGGGGAGCGGGTTCTCTGTCAGGTTCACAGCCCATCCTCCTGCGTGCAGGACGGCAGCATATATCCTATCGCTGAACTGTCCGACGTATTGAGTGGCAGCGTATCCGCCTGCTGAATGGCCTCCAACTGCCCACATTCCTTCGGGAACGCCTGACACACACAAACCGAAAGGACTCACCAAGATCAGCGAACAATGAGCTGAGAGAATTCTCTGAAGAGAATCGGCAAGCATCAGCACGAGGGAATCGATGGGTTAGAGGTTTAGGGTTTTCAGGATTTAGGGTTTCGGTTTAGGGTTTAGGATTACCAGAAAGTGAGGGGTGTTTGGAACTTATCACAGTGTTCGCATCCTGGTAACCGTAACTCGCGGAGCGCAGTGGCATCTCGACAATTACCACCAGGTGGCCTCGAGCAGCGATTTCAAAAGCTAACGGGAAGTAAGCACGGGCGTCCACAGATCCGCCTGGGTAATAAACGAGGCCCCCTTTGATTTCAGTAGGGGTAAACACCCACCACGACCTCTGGTTCACGGAAAAATGCTCACTGTAATAAGTAGGATTACAAAAAAACAAAACGTGCTTTATGATATTCTTAAAAATCTCTTCGAGGTAATGTGTTGTCATGAGCATCTCGATTGAGAAAGAACCAAGATTGAGTGCATACCTGTGGCCCGGTATTGGGGATTGGAACCTCGGTACATTGAACTCGAATATCTCCAGGGTACAATTTCGAGTCGTTGTGCCCTGGCTTCAGTTTCTCATTGTCTGAAAACGACAAAGCTTTCTCACTAGCGACCGGCCATCTAGAAAGTACAACGGCACTGTAAACTTTCGAGACTATGTTGTTGAAGTAATCATCTGACTGACCTAACCCCCGCTTCACACGTTGTGTTACATTGTTACCCACACAATCACTCATCGCAAAGTCGTAATGGCCCAGATTCGGGAACAAGGTAACTCCACTGTCTCCTACAAACCATACGACAACGGTCAAATCACGATATCCTCCTTTTCCACAATCTATGCAAAACATACCGAATTCTTTGACACTGACAGGCCAACACGCCGATTGTAAACTATAATCATCAAACCTTCGAAATCAGCTTTGAACAAGTCAAAGCCGCTAGGATGCATCTCAAGATCTCAAACTGCTAGTTGTCCCGCAGCGGGAAAAATGCAAGGTATAAGAGAATGGCTACCTGGCATGCGAGAGAAAGATTCCTCTACTGTCTCCGGCGTGACCACATTGTCCTCTCTCCCATACAACGACACCACGATGATGTTGAGGTCAGACATATCCACGTCTAGTGGCATGGGCGTTGCTAGCAGAACCACGCCCATCACTTTGGGGTGCAGCGTGCGTGCAAGCTGGGCTGCCAAAGCTCCGGGTTCCTCCCCGTGTCCAGCCAGAATCCAGTGTTCCAAAAGCGGCATAAGCATCATAGCTCGCAATACCCGCTCCGCACGGGCCTTCTTCATTATTACTGCGTAGATCCCCCGCAACGCCAATTCTGATGCACATGGGAGCACAAAACATTTCAGGTTGGGAATCAGAGGCTCCTCTGCCTAATAATTGCACTGACATTAGTTAAGAGCTAAGTGAGCCGCAATACCGCGAGCTAGAGGCGCGTAGGCTTCAGGAGCAACATGCTTCTCCGGCATGATCACCACTCCTCTGGTCACATTGGGGCCTCCAAGGAACGGCGGAATGACAGCAGTTTGGCTGAGGAAGATATATCCGATATCTCCTTTGCGATGCACAGTCACATTCGCGTCTGATTGCAATGCAGCTATCGCAACTGAGTTCGCACGACACTTGTGGGAGTTCTCCAAGAGTGCTCCCACAAGCGTTGCCCACAGCAGCGAGCTCAACGCAGCAACCACAGTGGCTGCCACCTGAGATTTTCTCATCCTGGAGTTACGGATACGCACGATCTGTCAAACTTATCGATTCCTAGTAACCACATGCACTACAGCGCTTGCATTGCGAAAGAAACCCTGAGAAGCTCCATGCGAGACCTGTGACGAACCAAGGAGTGAGTTTTGGTACAAAGGACTATGGTGCTAGAGTGTATCGGTGTGACATTGACACGCATCCGATTCGGTGACGCTGGGATAACCGACCCCTCGTAGATTTGTGTCGCAGAAACCTATATATTCAATCGACTGGCTCCGCCATTGTGGGCCGTCGGATCGCAGCTGCCGATCGGATGCGATTTCAACCGCCGATCAGATTTCTGGGAACGAAGAGAGGGAACGTAGGGAACAAGGGGCGGGCAGGTTGGGAACTCAGAATCCATTCCTCATTAGGGCCACACTGATCCACAGTCATTGGTGCTGAATTTTGTTCAGGGGCTGCCTCTAAATCCCACTTTTTAACCTTCACTCTTGCTTCAAACAATTCTTTTTAAAATATTTATTTACAATGTAGCCCTGAAGAGGAGGGTGATGCTGATGCCCTTATTACTTACCCAGATAACTCTTTCTTTTTACTTTTGTGTGGCTTAGCTGGGCATGGCATCTTCTCATTATGTACATTAAATATAAATATATATATATATATATATATTTGATTGCATTAGTAAATGTGGTATTTTGAATTTAATACTTAAAATAAATAAAATTTATAAAATATTATACAAATAAAACTTAAATATAATTAAATATACTTCACAACTTCAACTATGTTACCTTTTCTAAGACAATTTTATATGTGTAGAAGAAATTGCATATGTTTTTCAAATATACAAAAATAATAACATAAAAGATACCATGAAGGTTTTTACAATAATCTTGTTTATTTTAATTACCAATTTATCTAAACTATATTTTCTTTAAATAATATTATTCTAATCAACATGTATCACTAAACTAACAGTGTTTCAAATAGATTTCGTGTAATTTTTGTACTATACAAAATTCAGCACGCATGTGAATGTGGATCAGTGCGGAATGGCTTCCGAGTTCCCAGCCCACCACCCTTCAACCTGCTCGGCCTCCAATCTGCTGCCCTCCGAACTGCCCAGCCTCGAACCTGCCTGCCCGCCCCCTGGTTCCCTACGTTCCCTCCCTCCGTTACTAGGAATACGATCTACGGTTGAGATCGCGTCTGAGTGGCATCTGTGATCCGAAGGCCAATAATGGCGGAGCCAGTGGATTGAATAGGGAGGTTTCTGCGACACGTAGTGAAGGGGTAACCAACAACTGTACACTTAGGGCATCCACTCTGCCGCTCACGAGACACACACAGGAGAACAAAAATCCCACATGCTTCACATTGTTCACTTTTGCAATGGACCAAGTGTAGGGCTGCGAGCTATTTTCGGCAGAATCCACTTTACCAACGCATTGAGGTGCAGATCCACCTGTAACTATTCTGTCCATGGATATTACGGGTATCCTTCACATTTCTTTAAATAAATTAAGATAATGGTTGACTTTGGAACTGAATCGACTTGGTTGGATGAGGAAAAAACTCGAACTTTTGGTGCTCGACAAAAATTAATGAGTCAAGTAAAGTTGTCATTGTAAACAACACTTTTCTCTTCTCTCAATATTTTTTGTATCTGTTTTGGAACGATTAGTAAATATACTTCACAAAAATGAAACAATGGTTTGAAAGTATTTTTGGGTGGAACTTACGAACATAACTTGCACCAAAGTTGCATGGTATGCTTGTTGAAATATTTAAGTTGTAGGTTGATTAGGAATCATTGATCATGTGGAAGCAATAGAGACTCTATTACCAAAATAGATCATTGGCACATTACATCTTAAACAGTTTAATATATAATAAACCACACAATGCAAACTAATAATAATCAAACTAAGGGCAAAAGAAAGAAAGAAAAGAAAAGAAGAAAAAAATAAAAATAAAAAAATGAATGAGGACTATAAATGAAACCTTGGTTTAAAGAATTAGAACTCGATAGGCAAAATCTCAGCTAAGAATATTCCATATTCTTTTCATATAAAACATCCTATCTCATTTTATAAAAGTTCATACAGATTTTTGTAATAGGATGCTTTTTCTTTTTTTGTTTTCCTTTCTTTTTATTTTATTTATTTTTATAGATTTAATCATCAATTAAAACACAAAAGAAAAAATATTCTACATAGAGCATAGGATATTTTTGATATTCTTTTTCCTTAGAAAGTATAATAAAGCCAAAGGTGAATTTATTTTTTGTATTTATACATTTCGTATATTTTTAAAATAAGAATATTTTTTTATTGAAAATTTAATTATTATTTATTAAAAATATATTTACTTTCTATATTTTTTATAGAAATATAAAAAATATTTTTTATTAAAATAAAAAACTAAAAATACATATAACGAATGAATAACAAGTTGTGGTGGTGATAGCAAAAACTATGGTGACATTAACAATACTACACACACACACACACACACATATATATATATATATATATATATATATATTAAATAAAAAAACATCCCATTACAAACTATTCATTATAAAAATACAAAGGTAAAATATTATTTTATATTTAAGAATAGAAAAAAATAGATATAATAATAGAATCTAAAAATATGATCTTTTAGTATATTAAATAAATAAATAATTAATAGAATAAATTACAATTATATAAAGATATTATAATTACATATTATATATACTTAGTTCTACCTTTAATAAAGAAAATAACAATCAAAGAGATTGTATTCTTATTTTTTGTGATTAATTTAGAACATCTCTTAAACCTTGTTTTTTATTAAAAAATAAAATAAAAATAAATTAGTAGATTTTATTCAAATTAGTGCACTAATTGGATAACAATCTTTATAATTATAACATACATTATATTTTATATTTTTGTTATTAAAAGCTATATTATAGATAATACTTATATATATATATATATATATATATATATATATATATATAACTTAGATATAAAATCATTTTTTCAAGGACATGAATCAAAACAAAACTTTGAAGAAACAATATAATCTTGTGTCACTAAAAGAAAAAAAAGCAAACAACTCAAAGATAGTATAGAATAGATATTAGTTCGTTTTTGTAAGATATTGATAAAATAGATTAATAGTCCATAGAATAGTCAGTTCAGGAGGATGGATGGTTGATTTAGTTATTAAAAGTGGTTATTATAGGATTATGGTTAGGATCTGGAAATCAGTAGCAATTATATAGGAGTTATAGAAGTTTGTTAGAGGGTCAGACTGTGATAGTCATGAGCCGGGGTTAAGCTTGGTGCTACCTCTTTGTTTCTTTGTTTTCTTTGTTGTTGAAGAGTAATCGATAGTTTTTGAATATTGAGAAGTGAGTCTATGGAATAAATCAGAGATTGATTTATGAGTTATTGATTATGTAATTGGAGTATTATGTGATTGAATTATATGAGAAGTTATTAGAAGATTGATTATGATAGGAAGATTATGATTGTTGTTTATCGAGAGTTGTGTGTATTTTGGACAGATAAGTCTGTGATTACAAAAATTGTGTGGATCCAGATTGGTTGAAGTGAAGTCTGTTTTCCTGTTGTTGGATGGAAATTATTGTGTTTTGAGCAGTCTTTTGAGATTGTAGGGTTGCACATTGTGGTTATCAGTTGATGAAGGAGTATTGTTCTTAGAAGGAAGTATTGTAGTGTTTCTTGATTTTTTAGTGGTCCGGATTACAGTTAATTGAGTAATCCTAATTTGTAAGCTCATGTACTTAGTCTTTCCTTGAATTCGAATTCCCCTATACAGGTTTATTCTGAAAGAAATTTATAGAATAAGTAAAACGACAATTACAAATAGATATAAGATTGAAACTAGAGTGACAATTGTCAAATAGAAAGAGTCTAGAGAGCATTGATTTAAGACTAAAGCATAAGAAAGAAATTGAAAAGAGTGATGAAGGACTCACTTTTATCTCAATATATAACATCTACAAAAGATTTATTTGACAACACCTTATAGGCTATATTATAGGTTTCCACCTTGTAGAACATGTGTATAATTTTTAAGACAAGTTTTTAACATATTTGCTATATGGTTAATTTGTAATATAAGTAATGAATAAGTATAATGTATGATCAATTTTCCAACCTACTAATTACTTAGAAATACTTGCAAAGTCTACAAAACTTCCAAAAACCTTTTCAACAAAATATTTATCAATTTAATTTATTTTTACTAATTTCTATCTAATTCTACTTATTCCGATTTATTCAAATAAATTATTAGTGAATGTGGTTATCTTGTATACTAGCCTTTTTTTTCTAGGCAAAAAGCTCTAGAATAAGCTTTATATTTGCTTTATAAGTTGTTAAGGTTTAAGATTTGTCAAATAATATAAGTAACAAATATTGATCTTTATACTACACAAAGATGGTTAATAGGTTCTTTTAACTATTGAAAGTGTTTCATACAAAGGTGAAAATGCCACCAAATTATTTTATTATTATTAAGGCTTTTATAACTATCTTTAAATCACATATTTTATATTCAATTAAATATAATATCTATCTCCAATAATACCACAAAGCATTGGAATTTTATTCAAATATTATGTTATTAAATACATTATATTTTACCATCAATATATTTTTCTATTTTAAGGATCTTTATTACAATTACCATGTTGTTTAAGTTGATACAATCTAAGAGTATCATCTAGGAATTTTGCATATAATAACTCTTGAAATGAATTTGTTGGTTGTTTTTTTTCTATGTTTGTAAAAGACTTCTATAAGTTGATGCTTGAATTTATTTATCTTTGATTTATATCATCTTGTTGTTAATGATTATTCTTTTTTTTTAATACATTTCATTAATAGAAAATAAAGATAAGTTTTTATATGTTTGCTAGATTTTCATATGGCTCTATGTTCATTTATTATTATAATTTTTAAAAAATATATATGATATTTAAATTTATTTTGGCTATTCCTTGAATGTAAGATTTCTTTAATTTAATTTTTTTTATTATATATCAATAAGAAATGGTGATAATTATGTTATTTTTAGTATATTGATTGTAATATAGGATTCAATAAGTAATATATAGAGAATCTTTATTGATTACAATAGTTGCAATATCTTCTAAATCAATTAATCTGTTTAAAGATAAAATTGACTAAGCTTTTAAAAATTCAATTTATCATTAGGTTGAGTAGTC